TACCCAGAGCATCAGCTGAAACCTCTAGATTATAAGCCCAGAGACATTAGCACTATGCCACTCTGTACTCTTACAACTCTCCCTGCACAATTATTAGCAGGTCTGGTAAAGTGCATCAACCTTCTCCCTGAGACACATTTAAATGACTAGTGGACTGAAAACCCCACCAAACAATACATACTCATTTTATTCTCTGTCACTAAATTGCTTCCTCAAGGGTTTAGTATTTTAATAACTTGGTAAAGCCCATTAGCAAAAAAAAAATTGGCATGCGTACAGTGAAATATGGCACCTCAGAATAAGGGGCAGGCTGTTTAGGATGAAGATGAGGAGGAACATCTTCATTCAGGGGATTTGGATTTCCCTACCTCAGAGGACTGTGGAGTTGAATCTGTTCAAGACTGAGATTGATATATTTCTGCATATTAAAAATATCAAGAGATATGGGATTGTGCAGAAAAACGCTGTTAAAATAGATTAGTCATGACCTCACTAAATGGTGGAATGAGATTGATGGAGCTGAATGGCTTACTCTTGCCACTACTTCCAATGTCCTTTTATGTCTGTTATTTGCTGTGGAATATCTTCCTTACCTGAAGCTAGTTAATAACTGACTATGAATTCATCAATATCTCTATCTGCACCCTGTTTGCCACCCCACCAACCCCCTCCAATGCCCCCACCTCCACCTCAATCCTCAATAACCAGCATTGAAAGTCCTGTGGATAATCCACCCCTGAAATCTCATTGGCCTGGTGAGTGAATGTCTTATCACCAATGCTTGCTGGAGTAAACTTACAAGCAAGGTTCACCAACAAGGTGTGTCGAAAAAGGACTAAAAAATATGCATCTCAATGTGAAAAGTATTGTCTGTGAAACTATAGACAGAGCTTGAAAATCGTTCACTGATTCACACTAACTCATCTCCCTAGTGTTTGATTTTCCTTACTTGTTGTCATATAGAGCGCTTGTGGTCACAACACACAGACTACGTCAATGGTGGAAAATGTTTCATGGCTATGGTGATATGAATTAGAGCAAGAGGTGTTAAGGATAAAGGGTATGAAGACAAAAACAAATAAAGCACAGTACATCCTGATATGGCCATGTGCACAATCGGTGCAGCAAAAAAACATGAAAACAAAATACAATTCATATATATTTTCTCCTACTTGCCTTGTGTTCTGCAGAAACATTAGCTATCACAGAAAGGAGATGAGGAAGAGGTATTTGGGATAAGGGAACTGCGTGATATAGTCAATGAGAAAGGCATGCTGTTCCCGTGATGGAAGAGCTAGCATTTATTTGTTTAGCATTGCATATTGGTGAAAAACAGAGACACACACTTGCTATATAAAAGGTGCACATCTCTTGGAGGTGGTGGTTGGTAGGCCAAGCTTGGTATGTGTACTAGTCCACAGTCAGTGTGTACTGGACATATCCCTGATATCACACTATATCTTCAATGCCAATGGTATTTACAAACGTGAGCTCTTCTGTTTAATCTGCTGTATCAATCTCTCATCAAATGAATCTGAGAAGAGCTGGGAAGTGGGGATAAGGGGTGGGAGTTGCATCAGGATTGCAACGGCTACTGTAAATACTATCACTCAGAGGAAAGTCAAATTTCAGTTGGGGAAGGGTTGATGTTGGAGGAAAGGGAAGGGAGTTCGGCAAAGGGGTACAAATCCCTTATGGTGTATGGGTTAGCTCCAGGCAATGTGTTTGATTCTTAATGAAATGCTTTATGAAGCAAAGAGTTAGTAATCTCTTGAAGGAAGGGCAAGTAATATTTGTTCCATGCAACATGCACAGCTCTAACACTGAAGGGAGGAAGAAGGCATTAATGGGCCATATTAAAGTGTATGTAATTAGATAGATCAACTGGTCCATTGGGAATACACCACTGATCTCAGTACCACACTAGATTCAATCCCTATTCTAGCATTCAGGCATAGAAGAGTTCATTTTATGCGAAGTCACCCAATGGAAAACTGACGGGATCAGTTTGAAAGCCCACATGATTTTAGCCACCATCATAATCAGCAAAGAATAATATTGGTCATATGTAAAACAAACATTCCACCTTATCTCTATTGGATATTCCAATATAGAAAGTTCAATTCCCTCCATCAGACTAACCCCACACATCTTGCTCCATACTACACTGGTAAAGTCTTGAGATTGGATTTCTAAATGGGAGCATGAGGAATAAACATAGGAATCAATCAGACTCAATTTACAACAATGAAAAATCACATGGAATTTATATTTTGCAAAATAGGCCTGGAGGGGATGTTCAAAGGCTCTTCGAGACTTGAAGAGTTTGGGTTCCCAAAAACATACACGATGATCTTATATGTGAATAATCTAAAAAGCAGGATGTCAAAGTCTAGATACCTCTCTCCTATCCTGCCCGAAGTCAGATTGTAAACGCTCTTTGACCATCCTCCCATCTCTTCTCTCCCATTGTGTCTAGGGAAACTTCCAATCGCTGTCTGGCATTGCTTCCTTGTCTGCTACAAGGACATAACAGAGGGGAAGTGAGACTTCCTCTCGCATCCCCCAATCAACCCACTACCCCCCCATGTTATCAGCACTGCCCCAGCATCAGAGGAAGGTAACAGTACATCCAGCATAGGGCCTAGTAGGTCCCAAAACCTTTTAGTGAAGGATTGGGTCTAGTGAAGACCTATGCTACTATCAAATTTAGCCTTCAGAATGAACCTCAGTCCCACATTTTCGGCATGGTACACTCTCCAGAGCTATTTTAGGATTTCTCCAGATCTCCACAGTAACAGGAACCTAACAGTGAGCCCTCTCTGTATGTCGTGATCCTGACACAAGTAAATTGGCTAGGGTCATGATAAAGTCAGAGGGATGCTCTGATATCCCACCACATCACCATGTTGTCTCAAACAGGAGTCTAGTTTCAAAAATCTGAGGAAACTTGATTTTATGTCCTAATATTTTAAACTTGGCAGTTTAAAACTGGTAGAAGCAGAACATTACTAAAATGCACAAGTGGTGACTCGGTTAAGACAAACAGGTGGAGTGTAGTGTGGTTAACAAAGGCAGGAGACAGCTTGAGGTTTCACTTTGTTTTGATAAATGGTGACTGCAAGTTTTTAACCAGGATAGTTGAGGAGTTTAGGAAAAATAAATGTTATAGGATATGGGCATCACTGGCAAGGCCAGCATTATTGTCCATGTCTAACTTCCCTTGAAAAAGTGGATACAAGCTTCCTTCTTGAGCTGCTGCATTTAGTGTGTGTAGGTACACCCACAGGATTGTTAGAGAGGGATTTCAGCCTGGCAACAGTGTAGGAACAGTGAGATAATTCCAGGTTAGGATATTGAGTGGTTTAGACAGGAACTGGTGATGCTCCTATGTATCAGCTGCCCTTGTCCTTCTAGATGGTACAAGTCATGTGTTTTGAAGGTGCTTGGTGAGTCACTGCAGCGCATCCTGCAGATGGTACACACTGCTGTCGCTGTGCACCAGTGGTGGAGGGAGTGACTGTTTGATATTATGGATAGAGTGCCAATCAAGTGGTCTGCTTTGGCTTGAATGATGTTGAACTTAAGTATTATTGGATCTGCAGATATCTGGGCAAGTGAAGAATATTTCGTCACACTAACATGTAGCTAAAGTGACTAGGTTGGAACTGGAAGCTGATATTTTGAAAATATCTATGTAGAAACTTGGAGCAGAAACTGGTTTTAAGTGAACATTAGGCATTATTAAATAAAGTACAAAGAAACTCGTCAGGATATGTATATATATAGTAGCAATGTGGCTTTGATGGAAAGGAAATATAGTTTTGACTTTCAACGGGGTAATTGAACTTGGCACTGAAATAATTTTTGTCTTGAAATCTCTAAAGGTACCACATTAAGCAAGATTAAGAGCTTAACTAAAGGCCACAATCTAAAGATTAAGACCATGTAAGTCCTGATGTTATTATTGCTTCATTCATTTTGAATTTTCAGATTTATGTTACAACTTAAGTTGTCAACCCTCCTTGTCCCACTTGGAGATATGTTGGACAAAAGTAAATAGAGAGTTTTGTGTTACCATGTGGGGCTTCAGCCTGAAGAAGCTATGGCTGTTGGTTAGCATCAAAGCTGCTATTAATTCGAGAAAATCAACAGTTTACTGGAGAACATACAAGGTCTAGGATTGATCAATGGAACAGGTGAGGCATGACGGTCAGTACCCAGAACAGCTAAAGGATGTAGACAAATATTATTGAAGACTGAATATTGAAAGCTGAGGTTGAGTGGAAAGGAACTGGGTAGAGGCAGGAGAAGGGGAGAAGGCTTACTTTAAAAACATAACAAACATCACTTGGATCTGGTACACATATGCCAATTATCACAGGACTGCTAACAATGCAGCTGCTGTAAGTAGAATTTCACTCATCTGAATTGTCAATGTAAATTGCAAGTGGTATAATGTAAGGTGCCTGCACAGTCCTGGTGCTTCTCCGTGGTTTCAATCTATTAAAGGACATCTCCGTAGCTGAAAGATGAGAACAAGATATTCTGTTCTGGTCATCGGGGCAGGAAATGGAATTAATTATTCAGCAAACGGAAAAGTGCATCAATCATGAAGCCAAGGAATTCATGACAATTTTTTTTACAAAATTGCAGCACCAGGTCTTAACCTGTCAAATGGCACCTTGTCAGAAATGACTTATTTGAATATGCATAACATTTAAGCAGCTCCTTAGGCACTAAAAGCTTGTTTTTCTCTGACTAATCATTGCACCAAATATATTGGCAATGTTGGCCAGTTTGACAGCTGTCTAACCCTCAATGTTAAGAAGTATATAATTTAAAATAAGGGAGGTCGAAGAGGCACCAGTCAACATACAGACATTTCTCTTACATCATATTAATTATGTTTCACCTTAAAATTAAAAACTGTTCAAAAACAAAGCATAATGACAAAAATCTTTGAGTCATATTGATCCTGTGTAGAACTGTGGCCTCATGATAACTAGGGACAAGAGCAGGACTTGCAATTGGAATAAAAGGAATCCCTAGGTAGTATTATCTATACACAATGTTAGAAATTATCTCCAAAATTGTGTCACTTGCAATCTAAAATGGATGGGAAGAAGAATAGCAATTTCCAGATTTTTTTCTCACTCTTGAGAAACAGGCTATTGAGCTCATCAGCAACGCATGGAGGCTTGGGAGATCTAGGGCTATGTTTCTCTAAAGCCTGATAAATCACTCTACCTTCCACATTGCCCCTTTCATTAATTCTCTTCACGTGTCATCTCTTGCTGGCTTTGCCACTTGGCCCCTCACGTTTGTCAAAACACACTTTGTTTCTGTTTTCCATATGCATGGATATTGGTGGATAAATCAAATGTAGTTACTGTCTTGGTAGCACCTGTGCCCATACGCTTCGAGTTTTGGGTTTCGTCTTACTTTTCACATTTGTGCCAAGGAATAGGCAGGATTGACTGGGGATGTAGCTTCGGAGCTGTCATTACCCTCTGTCTCCTCTTTGTCCTTCTTGACCGTGTACTGTCCGATGAAGGAGCCGTCCTCACCGAAACGAGAATTACCATCCCCATCGCCATAGATGACTATGCTGTCATCGCTCTCCTCCTGTTTCACTGTCCCGTCCACTGAAGACTGACTGCCTTGAGGCTTCTTGCTGTCTTCATTATCACTGAATCAGTATGAAAAAAAGGATCGATGTTAATAATGGAAAAGGACCTCCCAGTCTCCCGCCTTCCCATCTTGCCCAAATGTCACACAATGTGCACTTCAGCAATTTAGCGTTAGAACTTTTTCCCAAATCGACCCGCTCAGTGATGCGACTGGAGCAGGTGGGACTTGAATCCAGGCCTCCTGGCTCAGAGGAAGGAGCATTACCACTGATCCCTTAACCCTTACCAAAGAATATGACATGGTATTTGTTAAGTGGATCTACATGTGATACACATTGGGCTTTCCTCAACAGTCACCTTTATTGACCAGCTTAGTTCCATAATCCAGCCCTGACTTTTACAATGAAACCAGTATTAGTCTGGTAAACCAGCGCATGGAATAGCATGCACAACTCAAAGCCAAACATTCCAAAAATACTTCATAAATAACAGGTCTCCTTACCTTTCTAGAGATCTGTGTTTCCCATTAGTGGAATACGTAAGGCACAAAAAGGATGATGGAGGCGTGGACAAGGCAAACAGAACAAAAAAAGAGATTGATTAGTACTTCAGTATTTAACCCCCGGAATCCATTTTACACTCACTTCCTTCTTTTAGAGCTTCAAGAACTGAAGGATTCCCGGAGTTTGAGAAACAACAAATGATTGGTGGCCGTTGATCACAATCCTGATTTAGGAAAAGTAGAAGTCCGCTCTAATTCTAATTCAGATTTAATCCTAATTCTAAACATAAAACACTCAGCCCTAGTCCCAGTTAGAAGAGTTTAGATTTCCACTGCAAATAGGACAGAAATTGATTTTGCTTCAATTTGACCCCAAAGTATTACAGCCCTCAACTTTTCCCATTCTTGAAACCAGAATCTCAAACATTGAACTGCTTTCCAAACCCTTGCTCTAATCACATCCCCTTACAAATCCAGTTCAATCAGGCAATTAAAATAAAAAACCAAGACAGAAATGTCTGCAATACATAATGACAAATCAACATTCTCAGAACAAATCATAAGCTAAATTTTACACCAATGCAGATTTAAGAAAGTACTTCGAAGTCAAATCCATCGCTACAGAACCTCAGAGACAACAAGGTGCAGGGCTGGATGAACACAGCAGGCCAAGCAGCATCATAGGAGCAGAGAGGCTGACGTTTCGGGCCTAGACCCTTCATCAGAAAAGGGGGAGGGGAAGGGGGTTCTGAAATAAATAGGGAGAGAGTGGGAGGCGGATAGAAGATGGATAGAGGAGAGGATAGGTGGAGAGGAAACAGACAGGTTGAAGAGGCGGGGATGGAGCCAGTAAAGGTGAGTGTAGGTAGGGAGTTAGGGAGGGGATAGGTCACCTCGCCTCTATCCATCTTCTATCCGCCTCCCACTCTCTCCCTATTTATTTCAGAACCCCCTTCCCCTCCCCCATTTCTGATGAAGGGTCTAGGCCCGAAACGTCAGCCTTTCTGCTCCTATGATGCTGCTTGGCCTGCTGTGTTCATCCAGCCCTGCACCTTGTTGTCTCGGATTCTCCAGCACCTGCAGTTCCTACTATGTCTGCTACAGAACCTCAGCCATTTTGAGCTGTTCATCTAGACTGACAGGAACACAGGAACAGGAGGAGGCCATTCAGCGTATTGATTCAGCAACATCAACGACCCAACTCCATAGCTTTACCGAATTTACTTTTGATGAACAAAAATTGATTCATCTCAGATTTATAATTAACAAGTTTCCATTGGCAGAAGAGAATTCCAAACTTCCACCACCCTTTGCATGAAGAAATGATGATTAATAACCATACTGAAAGATCAGGCCCTAATCTTTGGTTATGCTCGCTAGTTCTTGACTCCCCAGACTGCAAAAATAATTTATTTTCCCCAAAATATTCCCATGATATTCATTTAACATCCTTAAAATCTTTAGCAGATATGATGAATAGACCTTCAATTGATAGGAAACCTTCCCTCTGGCACCAAAACCATGGTTTTCGTAAATCTTAGTTCCTAACCATCAGCATGTACACTGGCACCCCCAAAGGTTTCCATGCAAGAAGGTCAAATGCTCTATTTCTGACTCTACGAACGAATCCAAATCAGTTAATGTTAAGAAAAATGTAAATGAGTTTGGATTTCTTTTGCAAATCAATCATCTTATTGCACAAGATGGTAGATTCTCATTGCCATTTTAATTCTAGATGCACTTCAACATAAGTTAAACCATTACACTGAGATCTGGGCTCCTCTTTGCGTACATAAGCCAACACCTGAATGGGAATACATACATCATTTGACTTGCTCCAAGCTTCTGAACGAAAAGCTAGAATTTATTTTTATTAAAGACACAGTGAGCACCTCTAGTTTTGACCATTTTCTAATTTGGTTTCTCCAGCCCAAAAATTCAGTCCAGAAATCCAAACCAATTACATCATCTTAACTCGGCATTTTCAATGTATAACATGCTTTTATATCATTGCATTGGAAAACAGAGGGTTGCTTCATGCATGGGTACTTATGAACAGAAAATGGTCAATGATTTGGAACGATCAGGAGCTAAACAGAATGTGAACGATGTGATAAAACTCTCTGGGACAACCACGAGGCGCCTAGCATCTAGAAACTAGGTGGTGTTTGTCCTTAATGGGCACCCAGACCACAGCGTTAATTTGGCCCAGATCAGTTTAGTCTGTGATCATTGCCATGGAGACTGCACATGCTTCAATGCTTAGGTAGTGCTATGACCATTATCTCCTGAAATCCAAGATCAAGAATGGAATATTATGTGGGGAGCGATTGATTAGGGAAGGACTTCATTTGTTGACAATCCCTCTTTGTGAATGGGTTTTACCAGGATACATTTGCTGATCTCTCACCATTTATGCTTGTGCAATGTCCCGCTGAGTACTTTATTCAAACAGTTTAGAATTATTTATTTAAAATAGATTTCTTCCTTATTAAAAACAGCATAGCCACTCTGAAATGTAGGGCCACATGATAGAGATCCATCCAAGCTACAAATGGGTAATAAACTGCCAGTTCTCTCTCCATCAACTCCCTTCCACCTCACACCAAGTCTACTTTTAGTAATAATTTGGAATTAGGAACATTGCTACTTACATGTCAAGATTTCATCCTTAATTTAAGGATGAATGGACAATCACCCCAAATAAGAAAATATAGCTTTTCCCTAAGGTCAGAGCACTTAGTATTATGATTAATTTGCTACACCAGGTACTGTTAAATCTTCTCTTCTATACTTTGATATCTTTCAGGAGTCACCTACAATGTACAAATCCCAACTTGAGAGTCTTTATAAAATGACTGTCAATAAAATTCCCATGCCAATACATTACATTGAACATTCTTTTAACCCTCACAGAGGAACAGCAGGCCATTCAGCCCCTCAAATCTGTTTAACTGTTCAATTGGATCATGGGATATTTTAATCTTAAGTCCATCTGCCCACCTTCATCCCCCAATCCTTTACAACCTTACATACTGCTCTGACAATCTCAGTGTTGAAATTATCAATTGACTCCTAGCCTCAATGGTTTTCCAAGGGAGAAGAGTCTAGATATATCACTGCCTTTGAGAGAAAAGTCTTTCCTGGCCTAGCTCTTATTTTAGGGTTAGCCTCACTTGCTCTTATGTCCTTCACCAGCAGAAATAGTTTCTTTCGAGCTACCTCATCAACTACTTTGATAATCTCGAACACTTCAATTGGATCACTCTTTAATCTTTCATACTGAAAGGATTGTGTTTTTTGTCTATGTCATCCTGTTATCATAACTTAATAATTATTAATTATTTAATCCGCAGTATCATTCTGGAAATGCACACTGTCCAGGAGATTTCCTTGCCAATACTTTAACCTGTTAATGCTGTGTGGGCATTGCCTGGTACAGCTGGCATGGGAAATGACCGGTGCAACATTTAGCCACAGAGTTGACAAATTGAGACTTGAAAGGAGAAATCTTGGGATCTTCCTGTGTGGACCTTGAGACCCATAAACTAGAAAAAAAATGGTTTTATTCATCTTCCACCTCAGCAAAGAGAGACCTTTCCCCTGCTTTGCATCAGTGGACGTTCCCTGGTTGAAAGCAATTCGCTGACAGGGTATTCCTGCCGCTGTCTGTAGCTATGTGGTTGGGTGCTGTAAGTAATACCATTTCTTTCAAACCCCCCAACATCCTGACCTCACTCAATTCATTCTCGAGATGTGGACATCATGGGTAGGGATAGTATTTTGTGGCCCATCCCTCACCGGCCTTTGGTAAGCTGGTGGTGAGTTGCCTTCTTGATTTGCTGCTGTGTGGTCAAGGGATGGCTGCAATGTGATTAGGCACAGAATTGCAAACATCTGTCTCGATGATCATGAAGGAATGGCTGACTGATATCCTAGTCAAGAGGGGATGATACTTCAGAACAAAATCTGGAGGCAGTGGTGCTTTCACAGGGAGTTTGGGAGAAACAGAAACATGTGTACACACAGTCAAAATTAGAGAGATATTCACTGTGTAGAACTTAGTTATGATAGGCAATTTGTTAGAATAGTAAGGCTGGTGCCTGAAAACTGTGGTGAGCCCCAGAATTAGGGTTTTCAATGGGCTATAGAGCCTGTTTCATCAACTATTACAATTCAAATGGGATCATGTTGATGCTAGCTAGTTATTCCATTCTGTTGTAATAGACACCATTTAACTTTGAGCACCTTCAAATTCTTTGATCTCCTTCCCCTTTCTCACTGTGCAATTTCAAAATTCCGTCTTTTGCATTTGAAGTAAATCAGGACAAATGTTATATGTGCGTCCCCGTTATTTATAAATGAAAGTGCTTCATAATTGACCACTACCCACACAATATCTCGTGTGTAAGTTATGAAAAAAACCTTTGGTTTGGAATTCATGAGCAGGAAAGGTAACTGGCTTGTATAATTCTGAAGTTCACAGTAATACCTCTTGTCCAGCCTGGGTCTAGGGAGCGATGAATAAAGAAACATAAAGGCATTGGTGAGTGTTAACATGCACTGAGACACCTTTACAACAGAACAAGATCGGGACGATAAACAAGAAATTACAAGTGCCTGGACATGGAACACAGTAGACAGAGTGGAATGGAAATGGGAACTGGATGGAAATTGAGGTCTCACCATTCCTTTCTGTGGTGGTAGTGGGGAGGGGGATTGTGAGCGGAGCAACAGAAATCAAATGGGTTTTGAGTTTAACATCACAATCGCCCCCCACCCAAACACAGTCCAACCTCTGCCAGAAAGTCCATCAGTAAATGAACAGAGTGAACCAGGAACAGTCCAACCTCACCTGTTGATTTATGTTGAGTCACACACTGATCTCAGTTGGGATATAATTGGGATTGGTCGTGACAGTCCCAGATTTGATAGGAAGAGTAGAAAAGGAATGTATCAGTTTTTGACTTCACTTCCAATTGTTGTATCAGGAGCTGTGTTTGGGTCAGTTCTGTGAGAATATGTGTTTCTGGGGGCATTTTGAAAGATTAGACATTGAGAATTAAGTGGCTCTCAGCTTCTCTTTAAAACTACTGCCTTGCAGAAATAAACACTTAGCTTTGAACTGTCCTTTGATGTGTGATGGGTGCAGATTCAAAATGGCCTTGTTATTGCAAAAACTGATTGTTCTTTTCTTCCTTGCTGATATAAATAGTCTGTCTACTGTCATATCTCTCACCTCTTTCTACACCCATGTGTTTGCACAAACTCTTGTAAGTTGGAAATACAGTCAACTATAATTCCCTTTTACTATTTTCAAACATGAAGTTTTGTTAGGTATAAAACAAAAATAGAAAATGCTGGAGAAACAGAGTTAGCGTTTTGAGTACAATATGACTTCTTCAGAACCTTCCATTTTGTCTCTCCACAGATGCTGCCAGACCTGCTGAGTTTCTCCAGCATTTTCTCTTTTTAGTTCAGATTCCCAGAATCCACAGTAGTTTTCTTTTATTATAAGCATTGTTAAGTAATGGTTTAATATTAAGATTGCTTGCCTGAAGGTTTAGCACTTAAGATTTATTCCTCATCTGGTCAAATTAGAAAAAAGTCTTTTAACATCTAGGTGTTATTATATTAGAACTCTTGTTGTCCTGAAGATTCTGGGTGGTGTCTTTAACTATAAAAACAGAAAACAAATTTGTGCAGAAAACAAAGCATCTACTCAGACTGAAATAATCAGGGAAGGAAGACCCAAGGCTGTGCCTGAACACAGAACTTGCTGCACCTATTACTTTCTATTAAATTGATGTTTTTCACGTGCCAACATTTATTGCTCATCCCTAATTAATCTCCAACTAAGTTTGACAAAATCAACAGAAACGCTGAAAGTTTCTTTGGGATTATCAGAAAGAGTTTCTGTACATATCTGCTCAACATTAGCTGGACAGTCAGTTCTGAGTTTATCTAGAGGGATGAATGTATGAGAACAAGTCCAGTGACTGATAACCGGTTTGAGTGAGCTGGGAGGTTGCTGGAGGAGGATGGTGTGATGGTGAGAACAACATGAGATTTGGGATGTGGTTAAGGTTACATCGTAGCCTAGTCTCCAACATAAACCAGGACTAATAAACAGGGAGGATGAAGGGACAATTGGCTTTTTTGGTGGCAACAGGGCAGGACAAGGCAAGAGGGAGAAGCATGACTGTAAAATAAGGCTTAAGATGGCAAGGCACAATGGGCTCCTTCTGTGCAGTATGCTGCTTTAACTTTATGATGATCCCAGTGCTGTGGGTCAAACAGCACAGATTATGGAATATAATGTGGAAAAATATGAAGTTATGCATTTTGGCAGGAAGAACAAAAGAGCTGAATATTATTTAAATGGAAAAAATTGCAGGAAGCCACAGCACAGAGGGATCTGGAGGTCATTATGTATGAATCATAAAAAGCTAGCATCTACATCCAACAGGAGGGGCTCTTGTGGTGCAGTGATAGTGTCCTTACCTCTAGGCCAGGAGACCTGGATTCAATTCCTACCTGCTCCAGAGATGTGTTATAAACTGTCTGAATGGGTTGGTTAAAAATAAGTCTACAGGTTCAGCGGATAATAGGGAAGGCAAGTGGACTTTTGGCTTTTATGTCAAAGGGAATGGAGTGCAAGAATAGTGAGGTCCTGCTAAAATGATACAAGACATTTGACCTCACTTAGAATTCTGTGAACAATTTTGGTTGCTTTATTTAAAAAAAAACCGTCACTGGAGGTGGTCCAGAGAAGGTTCACCAGGCTGATATGGGTGTGGAGGGTGTATTTTACTTGGATTGGTTGAATAGATTGGGCCTGTACTCATTGGTGTTTAGGAGAATGAGAGGCAACCTTATTGAAACTTATAAGATTCTCAGGGGACTTGACAGGGTAGATGCTGAAAGGTTGTTTCTCCTTGTGGGAGGGTCTAGGACCAGAAGGCATCACCTCAGAGTAAAGAGTTATTTAAGACAGAGATGAGCAGGAATTTCTTTTCCAGAGGGCAGTGAATCTGTGGAATTCTTTACCACAGAGGGCTGTCGAGGCTGGGTAATTAAGTATATTGAATGCTGAGATAGACAGATTTTTAACGTGTATGGGAATTGAAGATTATGGGGTAAAAGGCAGGAAAGTGGAGTTATGGATTAGCAGATCAGCCATGATCTCAATGAACAGTGGAACTGGACCTGATGGACCAAATGGCCTACTTCTGCTTCTACTTCTTTATGGTCCTATAGACTTATTAACTTTTAGCATGTGAGGCAAGAATGGTCTGGGCCCTTTAAATTTATACACTAGAATCAGTGAGTAAAGAGAGCTGAATGTTTGAATGCCTCTTAAACAGATGAACACTGACACTGTTAGTGCTTTATATTTTATGGATATTTTTTAACTATCTAATTGCACCTCGTGTTAATGTCCTGCCTTCATTTCTGATAAACTTTAGTTCAGACCATCTGAATATTTTGTGAGGTACTTTGCAGTACCACGCAAAGCTCAGGTACATTCTGGTTAAGTTGCAGACACTTGAAGTCACTGCTGCTAACAAACCCTGCTGTTCTGATTTCGAATATATCCCTCACTAAGATGACAGTGTTACCTGGACTGATGATCCAATCTTTGTGGGTGGGCCATTGACCAAGATTGAACAAACTCACTTCACAGTTGGTCAGTGAATGTGGTCTGCAGTACTTTTCCTCCTACCCCTTCTCCCTGCCAACGTGTGGAAATATTGACTTTTCTGCAGGATGATGTGGAGTTTTGGGGTCGAGATGATACACATGTGAGCATAATGTCTGCAGCTTCTGACGTTTCACATTTCCTGTATGGTCCTTTACCTCAGGCAGATCTTAAAGTATGTTTTTGATGAGTTCCAATGCTTTGAGACACAGGGAGAAGGGCTGAGCTTATAGGGACATTCTAGGAGAGCAGATAGAACCCAATTCTTGGATTTGGCGGATTGAGTTATCATGGACCCCTATGGAATAAGTTCAAGGATCAGTGGCCATTGGTGAGGTGTGTCCCTCCGGGGGAGGGAGGAGAAGGAGCACAGTGTGGAGTGGGGTCTCAATTCTAACAAAGAAATGTCAATTAGATAAAAGCAATAACCTACAGGTATCCGTTGTCGTCTTGCGAGGGCCTGTTTTCTTCTGTAGTCTTAACTGAAAGGAGGAGAGGAAAACAAAAGGTGTAAATATGTTAAGAACAGCAAAGAGAAGGCAGAACCTGCACTTTGATAGCATCTTTTTACAATTGCAGGACATCGCAAAGCACTTTAGAACCAAGGAAGGACTTTTAAAATGTAGACCTTGTTCTAATGTTGGAAACACGTGGCAGCCAATTTACGCCCGGCAAGCTCCCACAAACTGTGATGTGACAGTGACCAGGGAATCTGTTTTTTTTTGTGATGTTTGTCCAAGAGGTAAGTATTGGCAAAGACACCAGGGAGGTCTCACCAGTTTCTCTTCAGTTGCCGCAAATGGAATCTTTTAGATTCACAGCAGCAGCACGTTCCTGTGAGAATGAAGGATAGATATGGCAAGATATGTGAACCTTGGATGACCAGGGATATTATGACCTTGGTCAGAAAGAGAAAAGAAGAATACGTAAGGTCTAGGAGGATAGGAATTGACAAAGCCCTTGAAATATATAAGGAAAGTAGGAAAGAACTTTAACAAGGAATTAGAAGGGCTAAAAGGGGTCATGAAAAGTCATTAGCAAGCAGGATGAAGGAAAATCCCAAATGATTATTATACAAAAAAAGAAGCAACAGGATAGCTAGGGAAAGGGTTGGCCCACTCAAGGACAAAGGAGGGAATCTATGTGTGGAGCCAGAAGAGGTAGGTGAGGTCCTAAATGAACACTTTGTGTCAGTATTCACCAAAGAGAAGGAATTGGTGGAGGATGATCTCAGAGAAGGGAATGTCGAATTTCTAAGCCAAGTTGCTGTTGAAAAAGAAGAAGTATTGTGCATCTTAAAAAGTATTAAGGTGGATAAGCCCCTGGGTCCTGATGGGATCTATCCCAGAATATTGAGGGAAGCAGAAGAACAAATTGCTGGAGCATTGACAGACATCTTTGTATCCTCTTTGGCCACAGGTGAGTTCCCGGAGGACTGGAGAATAGCCAATGTTTTCCCATTGTTTAAGAAGGAAAACAGGGATAATCCAGAAAATTACAGGTCTGTGAGTCTCATGTCGGTGGTAGGGAAATTATTTGAAAAGATTCTCAGGGACAAGATCTATATGCATTTAGAAGCAAATGGGCTTATTAGCAATAGACAGCATGGTTTTGTGTGGGAGAGGTCGTGCCTCACTAACTTGATCGAGCTTTTTGAGAAGGCGATGAAGATGGTTGATGATGGAAAAGCAATTGATGTTGTCTACATGGACTTCAGTAAAGCCTTTGACAAGGTGCCTCATGGCAGACTGGTACAAAAGGTAAATTTATGTGATATCAGGAGTGAGCTGGCAAGATGGATATGGAACTGGTTTAGTCATAGGAGACAGAGGGTAGCAGTGGAAGGATGCTTTTCGGAATGGAGGGCTGTGACTAGTAGTGTTCTACAGGGATCAGTGTTGGGACCTCTGCTGTTTGTGATCTACATAAATGATTTGGAGGAAAATGTAGCTGGTTTAATTAGTAAGTTTGTGGATGATACAAAGATTGGTGGATTTGCGGATAGTGAGGAGGATTGTCAGAGGATACAGCAGGATATAGATCAGGTGGAAATGTGGGCAGAAAAATGGCAGATGGAGTTTAATCCAGACAAATGTGAGGTGATGGATTTTGGAAGATCAAGTCAGGTGGAAATTATGCAGTTAATGGCAAAACACTTAGGAGTATTGATATGCAGAGGGATCTGGGTGTGCAGGTCCACAGATCACTGAAGGTAGCAGTGCAGGTAGATAAGGTAGTAAAAATGGCCTATGGCATACTTGCTTTTATTTGAAGGGGCACTGGGTATAAGGATAGAGAGTTATGCTGCAGCTTTATCGAACTTAGTTAGGCCACACTTGGAATATTGCCGACAGTTCTGGTCACCATACTACCAGAAGGATGTGGATGCTTTGGAGAGGGTACAGAAAACTTTTACCAGGATGTTGCCTGGTATGGGGGATTTTAGCGATGAAGAAAGGTTGGATAGAATTTTGGGTTTGTTTTCACTGGAATGCAGGAGGTTGAGGAGCGATCTAGTAGAAGTTTATAAGATTGTGAATGGCATGGATAGAGTGGAAAGTATGAGGCTTTTTCCCCGGGTGGAGGGGTCAATTACTAGGAGACACAGGTTCAAGGTGCAGGAGGGAGAAAGTTTAAAAGAGTTGTGCGAGGCAAGTTTTTCACACCGAGGGTGGTGAATGCCTGGAACGTGCTGCCAGAGGAGGTGGTGGAAGCAGACACGATAGCAGCACTCAAGAAGCACCTGGACAAATACATGGATAGGAAGGGAATAGAGGGATACGGTTCACATAAGTGAAGGCAGTTTTAGTATGGAAGGGCAAAATGTGGCGGCGCAGGCTTGGAGGGCTGAAGGGCCTGTTCCTGTGCTGTACTGTTCTTTGTTCACTGGAGGCAGCAGAGTCTTCATTGAGAACAGGACACCTCCAACATGGCATCTCACCCTCATGTCCCTGGCTTGGGATTGGAAATGAGTACCACTAACTGAACCACAGGTTAACACTCACAATAAAGGTGGGAGAAAAGAAGGGGGATAAAATTACTTCCCTGACATACATTTCTATCACCATCACACCCAGCCCACCCAAACATGACCACAACCCCCCCACATGTTCAGCTGGGCAAAAGTCAGGCAGAGCACACCCGATGTGGGCTATCCCTGACCCAGTAGAAGGTCACCTGAATATCAGGTACCATGGTCACAAGCCCAGACAAGACTGTTTCAATATGGAGGCCATCTATTTAGGACGGAAATGAGGAGACATTTCTTCACCCAGAGAGGGGTTAGCCTGTGGAATTCATTACCACACGAAGTAGTTGATGCCAAAACATTGAATGTATTCAAGAGGCGACTAGATACAGCACTTGGGGCAAATGGGATGAAAGGCTATGGGGAGAAAGCAGGATTAGGCTATTGAGTTGGATGATCAGCCATGATCGTGGAGAATGGTGGAGCAGGCTCGAAGGGCCGAATGGCCTTCTCCTGCTCCTATCTTCTTATGTTGCTATGTTTCCCTGTGAGGGCTTGAGTCCAAAGTCATTCCTGGAATGTTCTGCTGGCTTTGACAGTTTCATCCAACTGTCTCTCCTCCTGAAAAGAGAACAGATAGTTGGACATCCCCATCTCCAATGCTCCCACCTTTTGGAATTCTCCATACCAGAGTGCTGGAGTGCCCAATCTGAGAGCTTTGCTTGGATACTAAGGGATTAGAGAAAAAGTGTGGGAAAAGTGAAGATAGATAATCAGCCATCATCTTATTGAACAGCGGAGCAGGCTTGAGGGGCCGAATGGCTAAATCCTGGTTCTATTTTCTTATGTTCAGCCTCTGTACTTCATTCCCATGGATAGACTGAGCAAATTGGGCTGTTCTTCCTGAAGAAGAAGAGATTTGACAGAGGTGTGCTCGTAAAAGGTGTACTCAGAATAAAGAGGGAGAAGCTATTTCCATTTGGTCATTATTACAATACAGTTGCAATTCTCCCTTTTGGATTATTGCTTTGGAGATTGTCCTTTGGTGTGTTCTTAGATTCTAAGTTCCTATATTTAATACTTGAGTATTGCTGAGAAAACAGATACATTACCGAAGCTTTTCATCATGGACTAAGGCCAAATGCAAAAATGCCAAATTTCAAACAATCACATCAACTTACACAACAGGAGAAAATTGGTTGACTCTAATTGGTTGCAGTGTTGCTACAAAGAAAGTAGCTCCATGGCAATATGTCCGCCAATCAGAGTCAGCTTACCAACCATCAATGTACCTATTCCTTTGTGGTATAAATTGTTGTGATCAAATGAAACATGGCACTTGCATTTGTCCAGATGAAGAGAAGGTGAAAAGTTTCAGCAACATGTCTCTCTTCAGCAAGATTAAATGTGAAAGTGCTTTTTCTTTCATGATGGAGATGGTGATCCTGCTGAGTGTGGGCCCCCAGTCAGGGGAAAGAAGGGCAGCATTGTGTTCGAGCACTTTTCCTACTCCTTCCCCATCTGGAACAAGCAGGTGTTATCCTGAATAGGCCGACTCAGTCACAGGTGCCACTGCTCAGAAACACCACTGTCCCAACACAGATGTCCAATGACCATTTATTGCCTGTGGGCAGATTCTTGTCAAGAGCTTCCCAGCTTCACAGCCCTGATTCTGTTACCAATTCTCCATCAGACTGACCAAATGGACCCTGGACGAAGTCCACACTTGACTTTGTTTAACATCGGGGTCCTTCATTGTCCGCATGGTCTTGACTTGTTGCTGGCCAGATTTCGGTCACATGTCCAAATATGATGACGATGATGTGACCCTCATAACCTTCTTCCACCCTCAGAGCCATTGAGATGGACAGTCTTCCTTTGACTTTTCTGCTGTCAAGGAATTTTTGGACCGCGCTGTGTCTGGCATGGCACCCTCTCTCCCTGAAGTACCAGGGACGTGGGGGTTGCTTGAGGGATTGCTGTACTACAAAACCACATCATATGGTCAATCCATGAAGGGACAATGATGGCATGGAGGGGGAATCAGAGAGTACTGGTATAAGGTTATCAACAGAAGTAATAATAACATGAAGAAAATATTTTTTTACTGCAACACTGGTGTCGTTAGGCTCTGGAATGCAGTGCCTGAGAGTGTGGTGCTGTGTTGTGGGGGAGGGGGTGGGTTGCATTCAGTTAGCTCAGTCAGCTGGATAGCTGGTTTGCAATGCAGTGTGGTGGCAACAACATGGGTTCAATTCTCACACCTGCTGAGGTTACATGAAGGTCCCACTTTCTCAACCTCTCCCCTCAACTAAGGCATGGGTGGCCCTCAAGTTAAACCACCACCAGTCATCTCTCTCCAGTGGGAGAGAGCAGCCCTGTAGCCTGTGGTCCTTTGTGGCTGTGATGACTTTAGGTCAAGGTCGGTTCAATCTTGGCTTCTGAAGAAGGTACCCAGATAATTATTTGAAGATAAAAGACTGTTCAGGAAAAGAAAGTAGAGGGGTGGCAGTAGCTGAGCTGCAAAATTGAGAGCTGGTATGAACAGAGTGGGCTGAATGGCCTCCTTCTGTGCAGTAACATTTAATGATTCCACACATTTGCAGGTTGCACACTCTCTAATGATGTAGAGGACTGGAGGCCTCAGTGAATGAGATAAACAATGCAAGATGTTACTCCTCATTCCCGTCCCTTTGAAACCCATGGTCACATGCCTGACATTACAAATGCCTGTGCCTAGCACTCACCTCATGCAGGTGTTGGAAGTAACCATAAAACCATTCAGGTTGACGACCTTATGGCAAGGATCAAACCCTGAATTTTGCATTCAGATGTAAGTGTAATCTGAGTGCAAAATCATTAACTACCCCTCTCATTACTCCTCCAAATTCTCTACCGAGTTCCACACCAAACCTTTCGAATTTGACTGCATCCATCTCTTTAGTTTTCAAATCGTTGACACTTTCTTCACCAAATTCGACCTGAAGAGGCTGAGTCTATGTCGTGTGGGACTATGGTCACTCCTCGGTTAGCGCAGAGAATGTGGGCTCGGGTTTCTGAGCGGGCTCACTAGTCATTGGCCATCGATGGAAGGGGTGCGATGAGACGTCCCATTGGCTTCCCAATCTTCCCCTCCCCTTGTATCCACTCCCACACCACCCACCCCCAACCTGCACAAGGTTATGCCAGGGAGGTGAGGGCATTAAGTCTGTGTTGGTTTGTCGTCAGGACACGGGAAGATATTGTTGAAGGGGTGTTGTCACTGGGAGTAGCAAACAACGATCCCAGGATGATGCTCCTAAGTCCCTGTGTTCAAATAATACCTGATAGAATTTAAATTCAATTAAGAAGCCTGGAATAAAAAGCTGGTGGTCAGCGATGGTGACCATGGCAACTGTTATTTATTGCCATAAAAAAACCTGTCTGGTTCGTTAATGTCCTTAAGGGAAGGAAATCTGCTATCCTTACCTGGTCTGGCCTACATGTGACTTACAGCAACATATTTGACTCTTAACTGTCCTTTGCCGATGGCCTTGAGCCTTAATCTGTTCCAGGGCAATAATGGATAAGCAACTCAGCACCTACACACGTCCCGTTAAAAAATACTTTGAAATGATAGGAGGCTTAAAACTTTGCAGTTTAACCTGAATCCTGACACTAACCCGAACCCTGACCCTAAACTTAACCCTGACTCTAACCCTAACCCTACACTGGGGCCAGTCTGAATGGGAGAGTGATTCCCTTCCGACTGGGAATCCCAGGCCCTCTTCAACTGGGGCCACCACATCCTGTTTAACTGGGACCACCACACCCTCTCCCACTGGGACCACCATACCCTCTCCCATTGGGACCACCACATCCTCTCCCAATGGGACCACCACACCCTCTCCCAATGGGACCACTACATCCTCACCTACTGGGACCACTACATCCTCGCCTACTGGGACCACCACACCCTCTCCCACTAGGACAACCACACCCTCTCCCATTGGGACCACCACACCCTCTCCCACTGGGACCACCACATCCTCTTTAACTGGCACCACCACACCCTCTCCCACTGGGACCACCACACCCTCTCCCATTGGGACCACCACATCCTCTCCCACTGGGACCACCACATCCTCTTTAACTGGGACCACCACACCCTCTCCCACTGGGACCACCACACCCGCTCCCAATGGGACCACCACATCCTCTCCCAATGGGACCACCACACCCTCTTCCAATGGGAACACTACATCCTCTGCTACTGGGACCACCACACCCTCTCCCATTGAGACCACCACACCCTCTTCCACTGGGACCACCACACCCTCCCTCACTGGAAACACACCCTCTCCCACTGGGAACACCAGATCCTCTCTCACAGGAAACAGCAGGGCCTCTCTCTCTGGGAATCCCAGGGCCTCTGGTGCAGGTCCACCCTCCGTTTCACATGGGGCTCTCTTACCTGGGTATTTGCCTCCTCTGCTCCTCTTTATGAAGCACACAATCAGCAGAATCAGCACCAGGAGCGCCACAGCGCACATCAGGCCAATGAACCAGCCCTGTGTTGCGATGTCCACATGACTATTAGTGAAAGCTGCAAGAAAGTAATATCAGGACATAGTTATATTGGAAAACCTGCTTCAACCACATGGGCTGACCTCACCTGAGAAACAACACCAGCCCAACGTGCAGTTATATCTGTCACTCAAAGCTTTTTGCATGTTTTGATGAAGTTTGAAAGAGTTGCAAAATCATGTTTGCTAAAATTCAACTTCTACCTAAATATTCCTTTTATTTTCTTAAATGTCACTCTTTCATAGTCTGCCCCTCCCTAATTAATCCCGATCTCTTACAATCCAGTCAGCTGCTTCCACACTGTGGTTTGTAGCTGGCTGTTGGACATGTTGGGAGTTTGGGTGGAGGGTTCGTCCTGAAACTTGCCTGCATTATTTTTGGAGTGGAAGCACTGGACCTTTGTTCATACATTTCCCCTGCTGAGGTGGAGATGAGGAATTTGCTCCAGCAATTTTCCTCCCATAATGTCCTCCACGATTTACATTGTACCCCATTGCCCAGAGGGAGCATTGCCAATACCATAAGGTCCTCAAAAAGATTAGGTCCTCCAGTGTCGTGAAACCCTCTAACAACATGAGGTTGTCCAGTGGAATGAGGTCCTCCAGAACCATACGGTCCGAGATCAAACAGGTCCTCCAATACAATGAGGATCTCCAATACCATGGAGTCCTCCAGCACCACGAGATCTACCAAGACAGTGTAGCATCTCAAGCAGTGGCCTGTTTGAGATCAGCTTACTACGTAGAGACACAGAGCTTGCGTGTGAGTCCCTTGATTTATATAACTCTGTCAACATTTGCTTTATCAACTGGAACATCAGGAGAACTTAATAGTTCAACAATTACCACATTTATTCTGAATTCACAAGAGAATTGTAACAATGAATAGGTCAACACTGGCAGTGCTAGGACTAACTAAATTCCACTCTAAATATATTATCAACACAAACAATCTGCCACACAACAGCCAATCTGTTATAACAAGGTGTAGAGCTGGATGAACACAGCAAGCCAAACAGCATCATAGGAGCAGGAAGGCTGACGTTTCGGGTTAGACCCTTCTAAAGCAAAACACGTTAGACATCAATGAGGAGTATCCCAGCTTTGGAACATGATAGAACCAGGGTTGCCAAACCCCAAGGACTGTCCTGTCCTGGAGGTTCCAGTAACTCCCCCAGACATGGCTGTGTACTTCAATATTCCATAAAAATATAGGGGCATTAACAAATGTGATGACCCTTTTGCAAAGAAAATTCGGTAACTTTGAAAAATATCGGTGATAGGGGTGTCAGGCAGAAATTGTTTGATCTTGCAAACCAGATCAAGTCAGAAAATCATGTGATAAAGCCTCTAGCAGAACATCCAACATGACTGGCAACCCTAGCTGGACAATGGGATTGCGTAGCCCAAACGTGCAGTACACAAACAAGGTATTTGTTTGCAGCAAGAGAGTGGGGTGGGGGTGTCAAATGTAGCGGTCAATGGCCAACACACAGCAATCTGCAGCTCCAGAACCATGTGCACGCACACACACACACACACACACACAAAAACACAGAACATGTGCAATGCATAATCACACAATGCATGCATAATAATATGCATAGTGAACAACCGCCCCATGTGAAGTAGCATTCCAAGTGCAAAAGGTCCAAAGCTAGCTCTGGGGAACACCCTAGATTTTCATTCTTGCAATTAGAGAGCAGCAGCAAAATTCATCAGGAACTAAGTCACTGCAAGAAATGTTTCTTGCAAAGTAGCATTTACTTCAGGATCTGGTACATAATAATGTAGCCACACCCCACACCAGTTTGGCTGTTAGAAAGTGTCAAGTATTCGCTACCGGTGTGGAATAAGGACGGCATCACCTCAGTCGAAATCAGGTGATCAGTGCTGAGGAGAGAGACATGTTGCTGAAGCTCTGCATTTTGCACTCATTGGGACAAATGCCAAGTTTCAAACTGCCTCAGCACTTTATACTACTGGAGCAAAGATTGGCAACTGGGACCAGGAAGGGCAAGGGAATGGAATTCGCTGAGTTGCTCTTACAGAGATCCAGTATTGACTTGATGGGTGCAATAACCTCAGCTTGTGAGGTAATAGCACCATGATTCCAGGCAGGGGGACCTAATCTTTATAGAGAGGATTCCTCCTGAGGTCCAGGATCAACCTGTGCCATCTCGAGCTGGATCTCCCAGTAATCCATCAACTGATGACACAGCCTTGACTGCCAATGCAACTGACGTTCCAGTTACAGAGGCTCAGGTGGGGATCTCAAGCACAAAAATCTGGGTGTCTCTACAGAAACAAAGACCAGGAAAGCCTTTCAGCTCATCTGTGCATCGTTCTGTTGGATCCCATTCATAAGTCCAACAGCTACATGAATGGGCTACGTGCCTAGCTGAACCTCCTACAATGTTGCCATTGCATGGACAGCGACTCTAAGCAGCCCCAATAACATTCAGACGCGGGAGACAGGCAATCTTCTACATTAAAAGAAAACACCAAGAGGCCATGCACAGTCAACTGAGGGCAACAGCATGCAAACTTTGTGGATGAATGGCTGACTCGTCCTGATTCCTATGCTTTGCAGCTCCAGCAGCCAAAAACATTACAGGATGCAGTTGAAGACAGATGTGCAAATACTGACATGCATCTGGAGTTGCACTCCAGCCTCACCTGGGCTGGTCTCAATAGTGCTGGTATCACTGGTGATTGTTGGGAACTGGGTGGAAAACACCCTGACTTTGTACAGCGTGCCAGGTGCTAGACCCAGGAGCCGGACAGCATTCTGACCTGCTTTGACATGTTCTTGCTTCATCGTGCCATTACCTGTGGGGAGCGTATGAAGTAGACAAGAATGTGGGTCAACCTTCTGGAGACAAGCTCAGCAGGCAAGGACGCTACAACCTGACAACTATATCAGTGTCTTGGGTGGCAGTGCCAAGGATCTCAGGTATAATGGGGATAAGAGACAGAGCCGAGCTCCCTTGACTCTGCGCCAATCCAGGGGGGCAACATTCATTGCACCAGTGTAACACACCAGCCAGCTTGAGTGGGGAGTATTTCTGTGCAAACTGGGTTCATGGGGGTGGGTGCTGGTGAAGATTGGAAGGATGAGGAACGGAGATGTTGTTTGCGAGGTCTCCCAACACTCACGTTTTTTTACTCACAATGGAGAGTGTAAACTCATACTCCCATCCCAGTTAGTGCTGAATGAAAAGCAGATGAGCGTGGTGGGCTCTCAGCCAGGGGAGCCTGGAGCGAGGCTGTCTGAAACCATCTTGTGCCACACTCCCTTCCTGTGGTCAGATGTGGGACTGCGGAGACCATCTCTTTCTGTATGGACCACATTGGGGATTTGGGAAGCTGGCAGTCCATGGAAGCCCATGTGAACCAGATACTAGCCCGAATGGTCTTCATGTCCTGACCCCCTCTGTCCAGCTGGTCCTTCTGTGCTGGACACACATGAGAAGAAAGGAGCTGAAATTCCAGCCAAAGGGAAGGCTGTTTTCCTGAGGGAGGAGGGCACAGATTGTAGAAGGTGGGGGAGCACAGTTGCTCCAAGTTCGAACTCCTGACAAGCATACACACGTGTACACTGGGTTTTCTGGTGCAAACGTAATCAATAACTTCAGAGCTCTACAGACACTGTACTCCAGTCCAACGTTTCCCAGTCTCAACCCTTCCTCAGATTTCTATTCCCTTCTCCTCCCAAGAGACCCTTTTCCTCTTCAGTCTCCAGCCCACTCTATTGTAACCCTTGCTCCTAACCTTACCCTTTTCCAACCTCCTACTCCCTTGTAATAATCCTCTCCTGAGTCCATTTCTCCCATCCCCTCCATCGAACTCCTCCCATCCAGTATCTCCCACATTCCTGATCATCCCTTCCTGCCCCTCTCCCTCATCCCGTATCTGCTTTGGTCCTGTTCTCCCTCATAATGTCACCACTCCAGCCGCAGCAACCCTGATCTCTGGAGACACCTCACTCTGCACCGACTCCCCTCCCACCCCACCACCCTCATGGAGGGAGCGCTGCGACTGCGAAGTTCTGAATGAACCTTAAACCGTCTACCCCCACTATCTCAGATGAAGACAATCAATGGAGCAGGAAAAGAAGGGCAAAAACCTCTGGCACCTCTCTGGATGGACAATGTCCATCTTCTGATCCCTGATCTCAGTTACACAATGGCTACCCCGACTGACAGCTATAGGGGCATGTATCAAGTTTTCTGACACAAGTGTTGTTGATACCTTCAGAGCTTCACAGACAAAGCGCTCCACTTCAGCCTGCTCCCTCCCCGTGTCACCCCTTCCCTAGACACTGCTTCTCCTTCTTCCAAAAGTTCCTTTCCCCCTCCAATCTCTTGCCCTCCAGTGTAACCGTAACCTCTATGCTTAACCTTCTGATCCTCTCTTGAGTCTGTCCTATCCCTCCCCTCACCTGATGTGAACTCGACATTATATCGGTGCTTACTGTGAATGTATTCAACGGTAAACATTGCCATTTCCTTCGGGAAGGTGTGACTCCACGTGATATTGATAGAGTCATTGTCTGCTGATGTAATGAGATTCCATATTCTACCGTGAGCTTCCACTAAGTAGGCATCAAAAAGAAAGTTACTGGGAGTCCAGCGAAGATACAACAGGGGATGCAACAATCGTTTGGTCCCCAACACCCTCCCACTTTGAGCATCCTTTCCAATCCAATTCCCCCAGTACGCAGTCACAGCATACTCCGGGACAATCACCACTCGAACAGCAGTGAAGACTGAGATAACAAGGTGTGGGGCTGGATGAACACAGCAGGCCAGGCAGCATCAGAGGAGCAGGAAAGCTGACGTTTCGGGTCTGGACCCTTCTTCAGAAGGA